GAACTCATGCGGAAGAGGCCTAGCCTCTTAGTGCTGTGCTTAACCTGCTGGAGGGCCATTTTTTTTACTTTCTATTTTATAAAGATTCTATTTATTTTTTCATAGAAGAACTGAGGTGCAGGTCAGAGGTGTGGGAGGTGAGGGGATTCACCAGAGACAGAGTGGGGCTCAGAACAGGTGAATTTAGTGAAATACATTGCCGAGGGGAACAGTGGCAAAACAGGAGAGGTCTTTTGCACCATGTGAGTCAGCTTCCTGGCTGGGGATCAAACTCAGGGCCTTCTCTGTGTTGGTACTAAGACTTAATCCGTAGGCCACCAGAGACCCTGATTTCTGTTTTAACTCTGAGATGATAATTTTGTTCTTCCACATGTGAATATGTTCCACTTACCCTCCTCCACGCCACCCAAGATTTCTGGCTAAGTATGTTCAACTCATACATGTTTGTCCTGTTGTTCTTAGGAATGTTTGATCACATGATAATTTTTGCAAACAATTGCCTTATCAGCAATGTTAGTGTTAATTAACATGAACTCATATATACTGTTTATCCTTGATTATTTTGATAGCAATTTCCTGGAAGACTATGGCTAGATAAAAGAATATCAATGCTTCATTACTGACTTCTTTTAGGAAGCTATTTCTAACCAGAGGGAATTTTCTTTATATCAATTCAATTTTCAATTTTGTTATAATTTTTTTGTTAGAATGTTGGTTGTGAATGACAGAAATCCAACCCAGGCAAGTTCAGTAATTATGTAAAACAAAAACATGGGATTTCCTTTGATAGCCAAAGATATGCAAGGCTGCCAAGATTCAGGGAAAACTGGAAGAAAGACCAAAAGCTATTTGAACTCTCTTCATTTCTCCCCTCTCTGCCTCACTTATATCTGCCACTGTCTCCCCTCCACAGACAGACTTCTCTTGGCTTCTCAGGTGCCCATGTTGGAAACATTCTCATAAACAGCTTCCATGTTAGATTTTCCAAAAGTGACAGGAACTGATCTCCGTAGGTCCAAAGTCTGCTAAATCTAATTTTGACTACAGTGTCCATTTCTGAGTCATCTGTGTGAAAGGCAAGATGAGGAGAAGACAGAACCCACTGAAGGTTGAGTCCAGTAGCCACCCCTGGCAGACAGAGCCAAAGTCTGTGGAGTGAATGATCTTGGGTACCCAATTGGGATGGGATAGAGGGAGCTTGAGAGGATCAAGAGATAGAAATAACAGCTGGGCCCTCCCTGGTGGCACAACGGGCTAAAGCATAGCACTATGAAGCTCACCACAGCTACTTCAGCACAAGTTCAATCCCTGACCAGGGAGTTGACCCACACAGCACAGCAGACCTCTCCTGTCTCCCCTTCAGCAGTGTAAATCATCAACCTGCCTGTTCTGCTCCCCACTCTGTCTCTGGTGAACACTCACTGCCCCTGCACCTCTGACCTGTACCCCAGTTCTGTATACATAAATAAATCAATCTTTAAATAAAGCAATAAGATCTAATACAACTTTACTAAACAGGTTAGTTATGGTGAAGAATCTTGTGTCAGTGCAGCATGAGCCCATGTATCCTGGTCTGTAAAAGATATTGTAGTTGTTATAACAGCGCAGATCTTACATGCCCCAAAAATAATTGTAATACTGGTACATTTTTCTTACTCCAAGAAGCACTTAAGAATAAAACCCAAAATTGGCTGGTTTATTGGGACTTGGTGATCATAAGATTTAGCTCATTAGTAAACAAAATAAATTAAAATGGAAAAAATCCACGTTATGTGCATTGTCCCTCAATTGCACAAATGAGTAAGACCACACAAGGCATATTTATTTGATCCAGAGTTCTCTTTGGGGCTACTACTGCATTTGATTCGGGTCTTAACCTTTGAGATTGTTTTATGTGGATGCAGTTTCATTATAGAAAGTGATTTAGAATCCACTTTATGAGGCATGCAGCTGAAAAGATTGTAGCTATGATGGCTCTGGGCATGACAGTTGTACACCTTTTGCCAGGGTTGAACCTCCATAAGCTAAATTATGGAGTACTTACAGGAACACATTTTTCCTGTCAGGAACCATGGGGCATGTAAAATGCATTTCTGATTGATAGTTGGACACACAGAGTTTAAAACCCACATTTTTAAAGTTAGACTGGTTAACCTTGTACAATACTATACCATGGTACTTTGGATTTAGATGCTTAGAACAGTAGCATTGGGTCCCAAAAGATTCCTATTTATTAACTCAACAAAGCTTTAAGGAGGAGGATTTGAAAGCCCAAAACAGACTATTTCCTCTCAGACTATTTCCTTTCTTATTTGACCTTTATCATCAAGAGTTCTCATAAAATCACTTTTTTTTTTAAACTGGACATGCTAATCATTCCTATAAAACTGAAAGTTTATGAATTTTTTATTGCAGTATTATGGTTTTCAGGTTAGCCATAAATATTTATAAATCTCCTCTATATAAAGGTAGAAGAAAACTAAAAGAATCAGAGACAATAGCATTTGACTTGTTTTTCTTTTCTTTTTTTTTTGATACGTAAGATCTTGCAAACAAAAAATAATGATAATGTGTCATGATGTAGCCCAAAGCAGGGGAAGAAGAGCTAGTATCGTAAATTGTACATACTCTTTTGAAAGAACTAAACCTTTCCCAACCATTGTAGCTAGAAATAAGGAACTTAAATTTAGTGGCTTTGTAGAAGTTATGAAAACACATACTACAGTCAGTTTAAATTTAGCCTGTCTCATCCCAAAACTTTGAATCTGAGAGACACGAGACTGTTGCTGAATAAAAGACCCTTCATCTGACAAGAAAAGAACAGGGGTGTTTCTTGCGCTTATTGACAAAGCCTTATTATTTCCTAGGCATTTATTTTCTATGTGGGCTAGAAAACTGATTGTCACATCATCTAATTTTTATGAGGATACAAATCCCTAACACACACAAATATATAATATTAGTTACATTTTTCTGCCTTTTAAAAACACCTATCCTGATGAACCTTTGCTTCTCAACTAAAAGTTGAGGAGACAAAGATTTGATACATGATGTACTCTCTCAGTCACTCAAATGGGTTTGATTTTTGTTTCAGAATTCATTTTGGAATGAAAGGCTCCCTCATGATTAATCCACCTGACTATAAAAGTAAAAATGGAATTTCTCCTGTTTTTGAAGTGCAGCTCACCAAAGATTTGATTTGTTTCTTTGACTCATCAGTGGAACTCAGGTAAAAAATAAAAGAAATGTAGAACCAGGGTTCTTAACTGGTCTGGGATGTTGCATGGGGGCATGTCAATAAAGAGGATGTATTGATGGGTGAATGGATGGGTGTGTGGATGGATGATGGATGGGTGGATGTATGGAACGATGGGTGGGTGGATGGATGGATGGAAGGAACGATGGGTGGGTGTGTGGTTGGTTCGGTGGGTGAATGGGTGGGTGGATGGATGGATGGGTAGGTAGATGGATAGTGGATGGGTGGATATATGGAATGATGAGTGGGCAGATGGTTGGATGGAAGGAACGATGGGTGAGTGTGTGGTTGGGTGGGTGCATGAATGGATAGGTGGATTGGATGGATGGGTGAGTGGATGGATGGATGTATGGAATGATGGGTGGGTGGGTGGATGGATGGATGGATATATAAATGATTTGTAAGTGCTAGAACCTCAACTTAACCTTCAGAAAAATAGTTTGTTAGGGACTTTGCTGTTTGGTTATCTAACTTTTATTCCTGACTAACATAAAGTGTGTCTATTTTTATCACATCACACTTTAAATGACACTTTGTGAAATTGTAACCAGAATTATGATTCATGTGTTTTATATTCTTTTCTATAGAAACTCAGCAGAAAGCCAACAGAGAATAAGAATGATGGAGGAATTAGATGTATGTTCACCTAAATTTAGTCTCACAAGAGCTGAAAGTGAAGTTCAAAAGCACAAAGGACGGATGCTCTGTGACGTGTTAATGGATCAGAAAGTGCTGCCTGGAGTAGGGAACATCATCAAAAATGAAGCTCTTTTGGACAGTGGTCTCCACCCAGCTGTTAAAGTAGGTTATGGGCATTTTTTCCAATGATTTCTACATTTTTAAATACTATGGGAAGTCAACATGGACACTTAGATTTCCATAGCAGTATCATTTGCCCCACACTGTGAGTCCTCCTTCAAGTCGTTGCTCATGTCAGCCCCTCAAGGAACACTTCAAATGTCTGTCAGTCTCGACTTCCCCCCTATTCCAAAGCTTCGAAAACTCACTTTGCTTTTCATTTCCTCCACGCCATTTTTCAATTTCCAAAGTAACCTAATTTTCACTATTAGATTTCTTGTTTAGATTCTGTCTCCTCTCCCTGGCAGGCGACCTCTCTGGGGAAAGGGTCAGTTCTGCTCCCTGACGGGTGGAGTGGGGAGGAAGTCTCTCGAATGGTGTCTGGCACATGGTTGGCGGTAGACTTGTTTCGGTTGAGGGAAGCCTACAACTTTCTTTTTGTGTCTGGCATGATTCAATTCACATTCTACACATACT